TATTTTGTTTAGTCCAAGTTGTTGCCAGAATGCTGAGAGAAGAAAGTGTGGAAATTTAGCTGTGTTCCTTTTTAATATTCCTATTGACAAGTTTACAATGACATAGTAAAAGACTTGGAAGTAAGTCACCAAATCTGCTGGTGATGGAGGAGTGCAAGTGATGCAAGATCCTTGGTGGGGAAATCTGAGGAGTATAATTTTTAAAACGTTGACACAGTTGGACTCGAAACACACCACAGATTAACAAAACAGAGATTTATGTCTGTCATGCTAACAGCTTCAGTTATCATAAAGAGGTAGGAAGCAGAGTTCATGAATCTCCCCACAAGATCAAACATTTCTTTGCACCTCCTAGCTGCTTCATTTTTCTTTATTCATTCATGGAACGTGGGTGTTGCTGACTGGGCCAGCATTTAAAGCCCATCCCTAGTTCTCTTTGAGAAGACATGGGTGGTGAGCTGCCTTCCTGTATCTCAACAGACAATTTGATATAGGTCCATCCACAATATTGTTAGGGAGGGAGCTCCAGGATTTTGATTCAGAAACAGTGAAGGAACAGTAACATAGTTCCAAGTTAGGATGGTGAATCATTTAAAGGGAGACTTGCAAGTGGCTGTGGTCTTAATGAAACTAGCAGCAGTGGAGACAAAAACAGAAGTTGCTGGAAAAGCTCAGTAGGTCTGGCAGCATCCTCAGAACTGTTCAGCTGGTCACCGGACCTGAAACGTTAACTCTGATTTTATTTTCTTCACAGATGCTGCCAGACCTGCTGAGCTTTTCCAGCAACTTCCATTTTTGTTCCTGATTTACAGCATCCATGGTTCTTTTGGTTTTTATTTAGCATCAGTGGAGGCTTGGGAACAGATTTCCTGACTTTTTTTTTCAATTGGAGAAGGTGCAGCGCAGGCTTGTCTAACAAGCATCCCTAGGCCACAATGTGCCCATTAAGCAGTCCTGTGTGGCTCACCAGACTGTTGTTCAAAATACAGGGAAGTGAGAGAGTTTTCCAGGGAGTTGCTCCTCTGATCGGAGGCCATTTCTCTCGTGTTTGTTACTCATAGACTCACAAGTGGAAGAGATCCAGTCTTTGATTGGTGGAGCATATCATACGCAAGTTAACTCAGCCCAAGGCCTGGGACCACTGTGGTGAGTCTGTGGGATGGGAGCTGGAAAGGATTCAATGAGACTATGGCTTGAGGAGGAAGGTCTTGTGAATTGGAATGGTGTTTGGCAGATGAGGGTTGATGGTGGTGGATGAGAATCAGGTCACTAGTGAGTTTTTATTTCCTAAAGGCCTTTTCTCTTCCCCAAACACCTTTGGCATTGGACAGATTTTTACTACCTTAATTTGCCTTTCGGTGTTTCTGAATTGCCATTCAATCAGGCAGTTCATTTGGCTAATCAGGGATTTTGGGGACTCATTACCTTTTAAATTGCAGGAACTGCTCCTCAGCAAGTTTAAACATCAAATCCCCCAGACTTGAGCAGCTGGGGTTTGCATTGTTGGTGACCGAGGGGGAGGAAGTGTGTGTGAGAGCAACTGGAGATGTTGTAATGTGGGCAAGCAGAGGGGTGAGTGTGAGCTGGTTGCAGGATGGCTGATTGGGTCTGTGAGTAAATGAACAACTGGAGGGATGAGTGAGTGACACAGTGACTGGAGGGGCGATTGGGTGACTGAGTATGTACCTGGAGGGGTTGGTTGGTGGTTAACTGGGCCTGGTTAACTGACACACACCCACCTCCAAAAGCCTATCTGCATAGCAGGCTGGAAGAGGAGGAGACACTAGGTTGAAAGACAACACACTTATGACATCCACCCTGACATGAATTCTGCTGAGGCCAGCTTGGGGTGACACCCAGCCAAAATGAATCAAGGACAATCTTACTTAAACAAAACTCCTTAGCTCAGCCCTAGTCCCCAACCTGGTGACCAGCAGTTGGAATTCATCATTTTTCTCTCTTTGGTTCTGCTTCTTTAACAAAAAGGGGAAAACAGTTTTGCCAGTCAGCTGTGCAGCTGGACACTTTTTTTAAATGTTGTAAATTTTTATTAATTATTCATTAAAGGATCAAATTTTTGTTTTATAATTGTTTTGCTTGTCCCATTCATACACGTTCATCATTGTGGCAAATGTTATCTTTGTAAAATTTGCTCTCTGGACCCCAAGTGAATGAAAAATTGCAATGTGACTGCTGATGTGAAAGGAATAGACAAGCCTGCATAGGGTACTGAAAGGAAGGAAAACAAACATGTACTCCATTGCAAAATCATAAAATCATAAAGTGCAAAAATGATTGTTGGAGTTTATTTCTGGGATTATGAATGTCAAAATTGTAAGGAATTGTATAGGGGCCTGAGCATCATGGGCTACGAAGGGATTTCTGGCAGGATCAGACAAGATGTCTGGTGAGACTTACGTTGTGTTAGGACCAACCCACGCCAAAAACAAAGTCAATGCAACTTGTACAGCCAAAAAAGGTAGGATTTGGCTCAATTTCTTTTATTTACAGAAAACTTGACCTGAAGTCAATGTACAAACTGCAGCTGAACATTAGCCTTTCAAAAGGAGCAATTTATCTCACATCCAACACTGATGAAATCATCAACATGAAATGTAAACTCTGTTTCTTTCTTCAGCAAAGTTGCCAGAACTGCAGATTGTTTACAATGTTCAATAATCCAAATTATTGCTGTGTGCTTGAAAAAAAAGTACCATTTAATCACATTTTGATTTTTTTTTTATCCTTTTCATTTGGGTGAAAAGAGATGAAGGGGGCAATATATTTTTGCAACTTTTTTTAATCTTTTATAGTGTTAACATCAAGAAATATGAATACAGAAAGATAAAAAGCTGTGAGAACCATTACAAGAACAAACTTCATTTAACATTTATGATTATACAGGTCAATCATCTTTCCTTATCTTTGCCACTGAACGGGTACAAACACAAGTCTACCTTGAACATTTGTGCAAATGCGTTAGGTGAGTGACCAGTGCTTTCACAGTCACTCATTTTAAAAGTTTGCTTCCCTGAAATCCTCTCAATGCATCAATCAAAAAATTAGATGTAAACAGATAATCATTTTCTTCAAAGAAGTCTATAATGATCATGTATTTGAAACAAACATGCAAAGTATCATTTCTCTCATAATGGAAATCTACTGTGAGAGAAAAAAATTAAGACCCAACACTTCTGTAAGATATCGATCCATCGGTATTGTATTCCTCCTGGCTATAAGCTTCTGAATGAAATTATTGTTCAACATCTTGAAGAAAATAGTCTGTGATTACAGCACTGCATTGGATTCCATGATAATTGCTCTCGGTAATTGCTCAATCTTTCAACCACCAAAATGATATCAGGTGGATTACTTTTTGCCTCACACAGTTTGACATCCCATTCTTGAGATTATCTCATACACAGTTATCTCCATTCCTTTGATATTTTTCAAAATGTATTTTTCAGTTGTTTCCAGGTGTGTTGCTTTGAATCGGTTTTACAGTGTCCACTTGTCACATTGCTCAGATGTTCCAAAGGAGAGAATATCAGCTGTTCCTCTTAAGGATCCAGAAGATAAGAGCATGACTATGCTTACTTGCTACTCCATTTATCCTTTTATATGGAAAACAATCATTCCTTATGGTATACTGAGATCTATGGAATGACTTGTAAAGACACAAGCAATGACCGATGGTTTTAGGGATAAATGTCAGTAAATGTTCAATAGATACCCCTAAGGTACTTTCATGAAAGTACAGCAAGCCCTCATTTGACAACTTGTAGCTGGTTTCATGAAAAATGCAAGTTTACGTGAACTGACTTTAATTGAATCACGTTTTCCTATTAAAACCAATGTAAAAGCTGTGGTTATGTCCATAGGACCTTTCTAATTAGAAAAGAAGTATTAAAATGTTACATTCTCTAAGCTGAAATGTGCTGAGTTGCTAAATTCTAACCATTGCTAATGGTTAAGAAACAACTTAGATAAAATTTAAAATATCAAACAAACAGAGGATGGTGCAGCTCACTGTCGATCCTGCTTCCTACACCACTGTAGCTGCTTGCTACATATCTCCCTCTCTGACCAGCCCCTCAACACCGACCCCACCCCCCCCAAAAAAGTGATGAATTACACCAGTAATTACAAAGAAACAACCCTTTGAAAATGCAGTGGAGAGACAATGGAATCCGGAGGAATTCCTGGCTATACAAATGCAAGTTTTTTTATTCACTAATATATGTAACACTTCAGTTGTTAATACATTCAATATCAACACCACATGCATGTGCAGCATTTTGTTTGTGGCAACACAAACTGTGGATGCATGTGAGGAGCCAGGTAATTTTGAAGGATTTTACAACACTACAGGTTGAGTAGGACAGACTCAGGTGGAAATAAAAAAATTAAAGAACATGATATACAGAATTATTTTTTCCTTGGTTGAGAAATCCAGAAGCAGGAGTCACAGTCTTAGATACAGTAAGCTACTTAAGACGGAGCTGAGCAAAAATTCCTTCATTCAAAGTGTGGTGAACCTGTGAAATTCTCCACTACAGAAGTGTGTAGAGGCCAAGTTTCTGAGTATATTCCAGAAAGGGTTTTATTTTTCCTTAGATTTTTAAAGGCATCAAAGGGTATGGGGAAATCGGGGCTATAGTATTGAAACATCATATTGAATGGTGCAGCAGGCTCAAATGGCCTTCTCCTGCTCTTAATTTTCATATCAATGAACCATCCTGCTTCCTCCAACGACTAAGAAAGAGTTAGGTAGGGATTCTATAATTCTAGATACTTTCTTAGTTGTAAAGGTATCAAGGGGAGGGGGAGAAAGCGGAAATGTGGCACTGAGGTTGAGATCATATGGAATAGAGGAGTAGCTTGATGGGCTGAATGGCCGACACAGTGGTCTTGGAAGGATGACGGGGCCGGGCGCGCATGCGCGCCAGCGCTGCCCGTTTGTTTACACGGAGTGCGTGCGGCAGCGATCACGTGAGCGGATGACGTGTGCGCGAGGTGCCGAGGCCCTGCTGGCGAGGCGAGGATTCAGGTGAAGGGAAGCTCACAGGTGAGCGAACGGGTGTGCGGGTCCAACTCTCCCGGTCCAGGGGCGGGCTTCTCAAATCAGGCCGACAGCGGCGTCGGCGGGGGTGATTGAACGGAACCGCTGATTGACTGACTGGCAGGCAAGCCAGGCCCGTCTTGGCCCGGCCCGCCCTGCCGCTTTGTCCCTGTCCTCCCTCGGCCCGGCTGACGTGAGGTTGTCAAGGCCCCATCGCACAAGAGAGACAGAGAGCGGGTTGTTGACGTCTCGGAACGGAGCGTGGTTGTTGGGAGTGGAGATGGGAACTACCGCTTTGATTGGCCGGCTGCTGAATGAGAGACAAACCCCTCACCGAATTGGACCGCGCGTCGTCATGAGAAATGGGCGGGGTTATCTGATGGGCGGGCGGGTGGCGAATCAGGTGTCGAGTAGGGCGGGCTGCTACGGCCCGGGATGAGGCGGGGCTTGATTTTCCAGTCAGTATCAACCGAGTCGTCTGAGAGCTGGGAAGATGCTTTTGCACAGTACTTTTTCACCACCACCTCCCCCCCCGCCCCTCAAACTCCTCACAATTCCTTCCCCGACCTTACTTCGTTTAATTATTATTTCACAGGGAATATGCGGTTACATACTTATTGTGACAAGGATTTGTTATTTGACGTCTAATCTAATCTGGCCAGCTGCAAATCATAAGCTCAAACCCACTAATAAATTTTCGTTCTGCAAATGTACCAACTTTAATGGACTATTCAAAAGGATAGGAGGGTTTCCACGTTAATTTTGATCTTCACAAGTAGGTTGTTTTGAAAACTTGGACTATCCACTATGAAAAAAATGAGATTCTCTTGTTTTACATTTAGGAAATTGTTTCCTTATTTTGAGTATGGAGGTTTTGCAATGGAAATTTCATAAAATACCTACTCATAGCTCTTTGGAAAATCACCTCTCAAATGGATAATTTTCACTGTTCTCTATTGCATATTTCATGTATATGTGATGCATTCTAATAGTATTCTATATTCCATAAAGAACACGCTTCCACCAATTTGTCAAATGTTCATCTGGTAATAAGTTTTATTAAACATCTGAATATTGGATAATGTTACTTCTTACCATCTTCATCTCTTAACATTTTGAGTTTTGTTGAAACATAGATGCTTTTTGACTTGCACTCATCTGGAAAATTTACAAGACCAATATAATAGAGAATAACATTTTATATTATAGGAGGAGAATGCTGATTGGTTGGCAAGTAGTCTCTGGTCAAGGCATTGCCATGGAGAACGCATCAATTACAGTTTGATAGAATAGAAATCTTCAGTCTTGCCCAGCTATAGGTATGATTTAAAACAAGCTAGTAGTAGATTTCCACTTGTAAAGAAAAGATTTTGGTATGCTTGATACATAAGAAACTATGTACTTTTTCACTGTGTCAATTAAGAGTGAAATGAAATGCAGCTGAAATTGTGACTGTTATATTGTGATCATGGGTACTGAATCATTTGGAATCAAATGCAAGGCAAAATCAGACTGTGCTGTGAAATCCTGACATACCGTTAATCATAGAACTTCAATTGCATTCTCTCAATTACCACGCAGTAATAACCTAACATTCTACCTCAGCCAGAGTTTTAAGTTTATACTCCATTCACCGCTCTAGTTAGAGGTTTAGAAAGTTCTGTTTTCACGTAGTGAACACTGAAATTTAATTATTGAAGAATGAATTGAACTCAAGGACAACTTAACGTAAAGCCTGTAGTATTTTTTGGTTTTTTTTCATACTGTGTTAATGTTATGCTTAATTAGCATAGTGAATCCCTGTTCCAAATATAATCCTGTTAATTATAAGAACACGGACCACCACTACTACCTTTTGAAGGTAATTAAGAATAAGAACGTAGAAATTAGGAAATGAGAAAAGACCAAGATCCACCTGTGGGTTCTTCTACCACCCTCATAGTTGCAAGTTACAGTAATAATAAATTTGGAAATTGAGCAAGAGATTGATCACAGTAATCAATCTACAACAGACCCAGACTTGACACAAGAAAAACCCCCTACCAAGTGATATCTTAAATTATTTGTATGACGCATTCCAAAATGTCATTTTCTGAAAACCATTTGAATTTATGTTTAAGTAATTAGTACTATTTCCACCGTCTCTATAAGGAGTCTGTTACCTCTGTTGATCATTTGCTCATGGAAACAGTATTCCCTCAAATTAATTTTGAATTTAAATCCAGCATAGGCCATATCCCCTAGTTCTATGTCTGCCCAATGTGAAATTGCTCCTCATGGCCTACATTATCTGGATTTTTTTAAAAACAATTCCAAGAAGATCATTTGTGTCACCCTCTGACTCTTTTTTCTGTCAGAATATACCCAATCTATTTAAATTCTTGCTGTAATTCAAACTGTCCGATCTTGCAAGCAATATTTTGCTCTCTTCTGTACTGTATTGTGAGAAGCATAACTCTACTTAGTATTCTCAGAGTGGTTGCGCCAATGATTTTATCTCCATATTGTTAATATAAGGGAACCCAATTACTATCATTCGAATTATACTCCAATACTAATTTGGTAGATTCCTGCCTATTATTTTTAGGGTAAATTGCTTGGATGCCAGTTTCATGAGAAAATAAGTTTGTAATCTGTGTTTGGATGAAATGGTCCATTTTTAATGTTGAAAATCTGATATCTGGGTACTTTTTGACATTCATTTTTTAGCTGATGTAAGGAGACAGTCTCGGTGCTTTTGTGTGGAATTTTTCTGCAGTCTAGATTCCTTGTCCAGGAAGTATTGGAGATGGTGCCATACCTAACAAGGCATCACGATGAATCTTCTGCAGTACAGTGGGGTTGAAATGCACTCTACTGATTGTTCATGAAAATGCAGATCTTTTGGAATACACTTTGAACATAAAGACCCGCTAATAGCAGTATACAGTGTTTTTAATATTTAGTTAGCTACATGCAAGTTTCTTTACCAGTGCTGTTAGTCAGCTTGACAAAACAATTTGCCACAATGTTTTGTGCCATCTCAAGGATGAAATTATTTATATTGATTTTCTATTTAAAGCTGTGGTATGCCTCTGATTTCAACAGTAATACGCTGTTTCCACACTATTATGATTCCTGACATTGATCCAGTTATAGCGTTCTACTCCTTGGCTACAGGGAAGAGGAATTTGCAAGAATTGGTGGATGTGGGTAAATTGGTCAAATTAAAATGAGAAATGATGATGTATGATCAAAATATTGTTTGCGTTTGCACCTATTAGATTAGATGTGTTATTATTTCAGGAACCAACATGGGTACTAATAAAGTTAAACTGAGAGGACCATAAATTAGTTATTGCATGACACCAAGCTTGAGGATTATGTATTGTGTGGAGTGACTGAGGGAAGAGTCCCAGTTGAAGCTTGGGAAAGAATGAGTTTTAAGTCAGATTCTTTGTAATATGTCTTGCATTAAGTACAATACAGATGTAGGTAGGCGTTCAGCAATTCAAGCCAAGGGTGTGCAGATAGGGCTACTTATGTACAGCTTAAACTAAGGCAGACTCAGGACAACAGTTGGTTTTACAGTGTCATTGAAACAAAGAGATCCTGACAGCAGTAGAGATTAGCCATAAGATATTGATTGTCAGACGCTTGGATTTTTCTCATATTTGTCTCAAAGTGCAGCAGGGTACTTAGAGCACCCTTGATGTGGGGAATTTTAAATTGAATTACAAAAATGCATTCTTCCACAAATGTATTCACAAGCACACATTCTATTGAAATAAGTGCTCTTATTTTTGAATCTCTCAAAAATGAGCAAATTTAGAACCCAATTCCAAATGAAATTGCTGCTAAAAATCTATCACAGATATCAAAGATTGAATAGGAACTGATGCACAACTGTGTTGTTCAAATGGCACATCATGAGAAGCTGCTGAACGTATTCAGAGCCTATCCATAGATTTTTAAAATTTGATTAGTAGTGATGAATGAACTCGATTTCCTCCAACTCCATCTTCATTAAAACAGTGTAGGAGCCCAAGCAGTGAGACATCAGAGTGAAATGGGATAGAGAGTTACAATGACAAGTGGCTTGACACTCCAGGTCAGTTAAGGGGACAGAATGGAGTTGTTCAGCAAAGTGATCACATGATCTGCATTTTTGTCTCCCCATTGTTAAAGAGACTACATTATTAGCATTAAATACAGTACTGTATAGTATGTTGTACTACAAGTAAATCAATATTTCCTCTGGAAAGAGTGTTTGGGCAAGAACTATGGAAGTGGAGGAATTGAAGGGATAGATGTTGCAGTTCAGCCCTTGAATGGGAAGATGCTAGTAAAGGAAAAGGGGTCTTGTGGCGAGGAAGGATGGACTGGGTTATAATTGATGGAGCAGTCGATTTGGCGTGTTGGAAAAGGAGGAAATGTATTTGATCTTAAATTTTATTGCTTTCAACTTGTCAGAAGGTGACAAAGTAAACTATTTCAGTTTACTTTTTTTTTCTGGGCCATCAAATTAATACCATTAAACGAATAAGACCAAGAGGTAAGAAACAAATTTTTATTAAACGTATTCAACATGGATCCAAGAATTTCCACCTGTATCATCTTAAATTTGAAAAATAATAGTATTGTGAATTCTAAAACTGAAACATATTATGTACTACATGACAGTTATATTGAGACTGTCATCCAGCTCATCAAAACCTGTAATCATGCCCTAAAGATGTACGAAACTGTCACTCAGCATTATTGTACATGTTCATCTGTGAGTATTTCCATAGCTAAAACTCTAAAATTGAAACTGTCTAACCATGGCCCTATTTCAGAGCAAAATTCAAACCAATATTTTAATTCCAAATTAAGCTACGTTGGTAAATTTAGATGTTTCACCTCACAGAGAGTAATTCCTTGCTGGCAAATTTGCCTAACAGTCCATAAAAGTGCAGGCACAAGGATTTTTGCATTACGAATTGAAAATAATTTGTGCAAATAACCCCAAGAGTTAGTAACTGTATGCAGTTAGCAGTTTATTTTGCCTTAGGCAGAATTGAATCTGCCAACATTTTGACTGACCTATGAATTCTCATGCTGTCTATAAAATTGTGTAAGAAATGTGAAAGCAAAATCATCATTTAAAAATAAATAATTTAGGAAAACGTTTTGAAAGGGAAAGCAGTGTTCATGATATTGCATTCCTACATGCATGATCCAGATTTGGGTGGGATGGAATAAGTACCTTTAATTAAAAATTAATTATTTTAAGAGAGTTTATTTAACATTGGGTCAATTTGATATCATTGGATCTTAAAATAATTGCTGTAAACATATGTATAACTGCTCTAAGATTCATTGTTCAAGTGAGAATCTTATACTCCCAATTCTTAAATGTCAACAACTCTAATTTAACACTAAAAAGTACTTTGTTCCGTGAATAACAAAAACAAATATGTATGATTATTTCAGCATTCATCCAATAAAATGGTGCACTGTCACTTTTTTAATACAGAAATTGGCGTAAGTATCATAGCAATTTCAATATGAGCAGTATCAATATAGGCTGTGAATGTGGTTTGACTCTGTACGTAGACAAATCATAAATCTTTCCATTTGTTAAGAGTTTCCCAATTGTTGAATGCAGATATCCTTAATTCTAAAAATAAATTATAATTATGGATGTTTTAATTATTTCAGTGCATTATATAACTTGTTGTTTTTTCTCACTCATGGAGTTCTAACCCCCACCCGACCGCATTTAGTTCTGTCACTATAAAATGTTCGCAATGGGAAGAAGTCAGCCCAAACATGATCTTCAAAACTAAGAGGAAAGATCTGAATTGGAAGCTTATGGATTTGATTTGTGTTATAGACTTATACAGTACGGAAACAGACCCTTCTGTCCAACTCGTCCATGTTGACCAGATATCCTAAACTGATCTAGCTCCATTTGCCAGCATTTGGCCCATATCCCTCTAAACCCTTGCTACTCATATACCTATCCAGAATCCCTTTAAATGTTGTAATTGTACCCACCTCCACCTCCTCCCCTGGCAGCTCATTCCATCCGTGCACCGTGGAAAAAGTTGGCCCTCAGGTCCCTTTTAAAGCTTTCACCTCTCACCTTAAATGCATGTTTTGACTCCCTTAACCTGGGAAGAAGACCTTGATTACTGACCTTATCCATGCCCCTCATGATTTTATTAACCTCTATAAGGACACCCCTCAGCCTCCGACACTCCTGGGGCAAAAAAGCCCCTGCCTATTCAGCCTGTCCCCAAAATTCAAACCCTTCAATCTCGGCAACATCCTTGTAAACTTGAAAGAGTTCAGAAAAGATTTAACAACAGCTTTCCAATAGCAGGGAGACCAGAATTGAATGCAGTATTCTAAGAATGGCCCCACCAGTGTCCTGTACAGCCACGACATGATGTCCCAACTCCCGTACCACATGCACCGTCCAGTGGGGTAAGCGTGCCAAACGCCTTCTGTACCACACTGCCCACCTGCAACTCCTTTCAAGGAACTATGCGCCTACACCCCTAGGTCTCTTTGTTTGGCAGCATTCCCCAGCCCTGGTTTGCCTTTCCCAAATGCAACATATTTACATAAATTAAACTCCATCTGCCATACCTTGGCCCATTGGCCCATCTAATCAAGGCCCCTTTGTACTCTTAGATAACCTTCTTCACTGTTCACCAATTTTGGTGTCAACTGCAAACTTGCTAACCAAACTTCCTATATTTACATCAAAATAATTTATTTAAGTGCGAAAAACAGTGGACCCAGCACCGATCCTTGTGGCACACCACTGGTCACAGGCCTCCAGTCCAAAAAACAACCCTCTGCAACCACACTGCTTGCAATGATTTGAGGCTTTAATTTTGACCTTCAATAAGACTGCTTTGCTTGACGTTTAATAGTTAACAAAAGGTTTCTGAGGCTAAGACTGACCTTTTTGAGTGTTGACATGACATTAACAGTTTTCCAAAATCATGTTTAACATATTTATTGTTTTATGTTTTGAACAGTACATGCTTTCATCTACAATGGAACTAGCAACTAATTTTTTTCATGTGGAATTCCCAAATTTTACAAATACTCTACTACAGAAGTTAAACCAACAGCGTCAAGAGGGACAGTTATGTGACATTGCCATTCAAGTTCAGGGCCATTTATTCAGAGCCCATAGGGCTGTTCTTGCTGCCACTTCACCTTATTTTTGTGATCAGGTACTACTGAAGAACAGTAATCGAATCCTTCTACCAGATGTAATGAATCCAAAGGCTTTTGAAAATGTTTTGTTGTTTTGCTACACAGGAAAACTTGTACTACCAGCCACTGACATTGTTAGTTACTTAACAGTGGCAAGCTTTCTTCAAATGTGGCATGTTGTAGATAAGTGTACAGAACTTTTAAAAGTGTGCCCAGCAGTTCATTGCCGGAAGTCTAATCACTTGAATGATCATCAGTCACCCAGCAGCAGCAATTTCAATGGTTTGGTAGAACCTTCAGAACTTGGGGCTGTGGGGCAGCCTGAGTTTCATAAAAGTTTGAATGGGAGTTCAAAAGCTGAAAATGGCGAAGAGAGTCCCAAAGAGGATGATATGTCACCGCCCCAGTTAATGGATCATGACAACCTTCCTAGCAATTCTTCCGGAGAACATGATCATTTAAGTGCAGAAATGAGCAGTCAGGATGGTGAGGAAGGAGCAAGCGATACTGTAGAGTATCCATACACCAGGCCAATCTATAGTCGACCTAGTATAATGCCTCACAAGCGGTGGGTGTATGTGAAGCAAGAAAAGTTTGAAGAGGATTACGGTGATGGAACAACATGCCCTACTGCTGAAGAGCAACGTATCTCTGAATCAGAAAATATTACTCAGGCTGAACCAGTGATCCAGTCTTCTAGCATTGATGACAGCTTTAATGTTGTTGCTGCCAAAACCCAGGAGATTTTTAAAGAAGGTCATGAGCATAGTTCTTATGATGAGCAGGTTGATTACTATGGTTCATCACTGGATGAATTTTCAGCTGACCGGGGAGAGATAAATGTCAATGGCCACCATCAGGACCCTTTAATGGCAGCTGAAATGCAGGTGAATCGGTTGCCAGGCTATGGTGTTGAAGCTGAACTAGGAACAGGTGTCAGTGAAAAGACCTCGCACTCTGGTTTCACAGCTGTTGTTTACAAACTTTACCCTTGCCAATGTGGCAAAAATTTTACTCACAAGAGTCAGCGAGATCGGCACATGAGCATGCATCTAGGTCTTCGGCCTTATGGCTGTGGTGTTTGTGGTAAGAAATTTAAAATGAAGCATCATCTTGTTGGCCACATGAAGATCCACACTGGCATTAAACCCTACGAGTGCCACATCTGTGGTAAGAAATTCATGTGGCGAGACAGTTTTCATCGTCATGTGACATCATGCACTAAGCTGTATCAGGTACCTGATGTTCGCTGACAAAGCTTATGGGCCAACTGGCTCAATGAATGATATAAGGTACTTTATGTAGTGAAGACATTTCAAGTGCTTTTGACTCATTCAGTGGTGTTCTCATATCCAGTAGAAAATCAACAGTCTCAGTAGTGACAGCCTGGGCGTCAGTTGAACTGTGTTGGTGCCATGACAACACTTACTTACTTAACCAAAACATTTTTCCAGTCGTGTTACTTTTAAGTATTGCACAATTATGTTGTCTTTGGTGGATTGAAATGAAGAGTTGAGCCTTACATATAAAAATGAATGGAAAGAAGAAAAAGCAAAACCAAGAATAGACTTTGAATGGTATTTTGCTAATGTGTTGTAAGCTCCATTTGCACACCAATACTGTTGAGTTAGACTGGGAGTATTATGTGTAGAAATGCTGTTCAACTCACAAAGGCAATTCTTTGTAACAGAGGATTGAGGTAGCAGCTTAAAGTGACTTTGGTTTCCATGCAAGTAATTCAAGGTAAAAGTGAAAATGACTACAATCAATTGCTGTTGCAGAGGGTCTGTGTGGACACGACAGACCAAATGGCCTCCTCCTGTTCTACAACCAATCTAGGACTTTATTCTCAAAGGCTGAAAAGGGCACTGTTGTGGCAATTCCATTTAATTTACTGTGTTCTTGAGCCTAATTCTCAAAAAAAAATTATACCTGGGTCTTGTGACTTCGCAGTTAGCTCAGACCCCTGTTGTTAATTAATTCTAAATGTGATCTGTATGAGTAGGCCACATATCGGTTTGCAAACAGCATAGAAATGCAAATTACAATAGTCATTAAAACTTCTGAACTTTCAAAAGGACTTTTTATTTCGGATGTTGGATGATGAGAGCAACAGTTCAGGAAAAAACTTTGAGTAATATTGGAATATTTGACATAGTTGCAGTGCAAACTTCAGACTTGGCTTGGTTGATACCGGCTTTATGTAATTAAGTGTGCAGCGGATTGACAGTAACAAAGGTAGTCGATTGATAGGTATTTTTTATTTATATACTGTATATATTTGCAGTTGTTATATCTTCGGCAGAGTAAATATTGAACACAATTATTGGATAATGATTATCCGTCAGTCTTATTGGTGGTTTAAATAATCAATTATTAGTCTGATAAGTAAAAGATTCCTTTCAATTAAACATTGCTCAGACAGACGTAGTCTCTTGAAACTGTGACCCAATAATAAGACAAACATTTTTTGGAGGAAAAAAGATTGCTTTCTAGCAACCAAAGCCTAGAGTGGAGGATTCAATGGAACAGCTTTTGGTCCAATCAGTAGATAATTAATATCCTTGTATGTGTGTATAGGGAAGTATCTAAAGTTCATTGTTTTCTTGAAAATGGCCAGCGATGTTCTCTAGGAAGGAAATACTTGTCAATTGCACATCCATTCAGTGATTTCCATTGCCATAATTAGGCTGTAGGACTAAAGGGAGTCTGGGTATGAAATACCTGTACTTTGGGATTTTAGATTGCAAAAGACTGCAAACAGTTGAATTTTAATTTGCAATAATTGTAGCAATAGTTTAGCTATAAACTACCTTGACTCTGAAGTGATGCGATCAACATATATAATTGCAAATATAGCGCCTCCAATCTGCTACAGTTTTACAACATTTCCAGAAAGAAATAGTATAGTCATTCCTCCGTATCCATGAGGGTTCCATTCCTGAGAACCCCTGCAAATGATAATTCACGAGTGCAGAGCTCGTGAAAAAAAGGTTAAAATATAGCAAAAAATGTGATTTTTGCCCACATGTTGATTTTTGTTAACTTATTTTTTAGCGTGAATATATGAATTCTCAATTTGTGATTTTGTGGATACAGAGGATTTCTGTTATTGCAAGTGGTCTCTATAGAGGACTGCCACTTGTGTATTCATATCCATTCATCCTCAGTAAATTGAGTCTTTAGGCTGTTTGGCTCTGAAACATGTTGATGGGAATTTGAAACTAGATATTAATCTGATGCCTGAGCTTGGAACTTTAGAATGCCATTGTTAATGGATCAGCCAGATTGATTTGTTGGTAGGATGTGGAAAGATAGGTTTTTCAGCGGGGATCGGTTGACATTGACCAAATGGATGAGCAGCAGCAAGCTTACCAGTATCCTCTGCTGATAAGTTGCAGAATTGTAAACTATCCAAAATTTAGGAATGTCCTAATACAGATTTGATGGTTTCTAACTTTGCCCAGATTTTCTGGCATTAGTAAAGTGGTGTGTGCCATAAGAGGGAAAGAACATGTTATCCATAATTGGTTCCTGCCCGTTATCAAGAGTCTAAACTGATTTGCTTTTTAAAAATTCAACCTTTGTGAATCACATCAATATCTTAAGTTGAATGGCGAACTTGAAGGTGAAATAGATAGTCTAAATTATAAACTTGTCATGGATTTTAAACCAGGCATAAAATTGGCATTGCAGATTGCCTAACCCCACCATACGAGAAGGCAGCTAAATTCCCTGGTGTTGGCTTGAATGGATATGAAAATTGGGCTGTTTCCCTAGCAGATAACAAACCTGAAATATCAGGCTCTCGGCCAAGTAGCAAGCTTAAAGTTTACTCCATTGTATTTCAATTAAGGATTGCTGCTCAGCTTCAAGTACTGAAACTTCTAATGGCTGATTTCTGTCAATACACACATTGGATCACATAAAGCATTATTGATATGAATGACCTGAGTCTGCCCTTCCAGTACCAGCAGGATTTATCAAATGTCACGGACAATGTGATTGGTATGAATTGGAGTGAGAAAGAAGGGATCTGTTTGTGCCTTGACAATTAGAGAGAGACTGAAGTGTTGTTTAAGCTTTGAATTCCATTGCATGTCCTTTCTTGTAACTAGTTAATTCTGGAATAAAGCTACATGCCTGCCAACTTTATTTGAACTTATTCAACACTTTCTCCACTATACTCCAGGTCAGAATCATACAGGCGTGCATGATATAACTCTTTTCTTCTTAAAAAAAATAAGGACCCTGAGAACAAAATGCCCAACACAGTTTATATCCCACCACTACTTTTTCGACATTAACCGCAGGCTAATTGCAGAGCAAAGGCCAACAGCTTTTGATTCATTTGTATATCTTAATAATTTATTTGTGAACACAAAATTAGTCTAGTAGTGATTTATAAAATGCCATTTTAAAAATATACAGTCCATGAAGGTACTGGATTTCTGTTGTCAGTAGTACATGGCTAAGTGATTTAATATTATGAGACTTAATTCCTTATCTTATTTTAAACCTGTTTCCATTAGACCTTATCAAAACAATTCTTATAATCACTTACTCGCTACTGTGTTTCACTGAAAAATTCCAGCAGGTTATCTTTACTTGGGGTTTCTTATTAGAAAGTACAAACTTGACATTTGGCAAATCTTTGCATACTTGATCAGTGACCCAGTTTCTTTCTTTCTTTCTTCCTCTATCTCTCGCTTGCTCTCTCTCGCTTGCTCTCTCTCGCTTGCTCTCTCTCGCTTGCTCTCTCTCGCTTGCGCTCTCTCGCTTGCTCTCTCTCGCTTGCGCTCTCTCGCTTGCTCGCGCTCGCTCTCGCGCTCGCTCTCGCTCTCGCTCTCTCTCTCTCTCGTGCTCTCTCTCTCTCTTCTTCTCCCCCCACCCCCCAACTGAGGGAAATAGCGCCTGCATACAACACTCCAAATACTCTGCTTCACACTTGAACTTTAATGATTCTGTGTGAATGTATTACAGGTAACTAAACTGTCCTGAAACGAGTGGCTTCTTCATTATGATAATCTGCACCTAATTGCACAAAGCTAGTTTTGTCGCATTGTCTTATTTCAGATATTGTCCTTATTTGATTGATACTCTGCATGTTTCTGACATCTTTTGATGATTTTTACAACAATGAGAATAAAATGTGATTGCCCCCCCGCCCAAAACACCTGCTTGTTCTCCGTTGCTGAAACAGGTTTTGTTGCTGTCACTGGTCACATGGTTACCATTCTATTCTGGCTTTGATGTTTTAATAAAGATCTGTAGCTCAGGTTGTGGTTGGAGTTGTTGGCTGGTTCACTGAACTGACTGGTTTTCACGCAAGTATTTCATCTCCCTTGTAGGTGACTTTGTCAGAGCTGTGTAGCCCCCGTTGAAGCGCTGTTGTTCTGTCCCACTCTCAATTTATATGGTCCGGTCTGTCATGGTGGGCAGTCTTGTTTGTTTGGACTGTAGTGGTATGTAGATGGGTGCCCACCATGACAGACTGGACCATGTAAATTCAGAGCGGAACAGAACAACAGTGCTTCAGCGGAGGCTACACAGCACTGATGAAGTCACCGAGAAGGGAGACGAAATGTTTGCATGAAAACCAGTTCGGCAAACCAACCAAAAACTCGATTCTGGCTTTGTCAAAAGTCACACGACGCCAGGTCATAGACCAACAGGTTTATTTGAAATTACAAGCTTTTGGAGCGCAGCCCCTTCACCAGGTGCAGTGAGAGAGGAGAGCGCACAGACACAGTTTATAGGCAGAGAGATCAAAAGATCACACAACTGGTGTGTGTGCAGTGTCCGATAATAAGTCTCTGCAGGTGACTAAGAATATTAGACAGTGAGTAAAATGTTTATAAAGTCAATGTCAGTGCTGTACTGTCATGACAATCAGGCAGAGCGATAGGAATATGCAAAAGGTGACATCTTAAGTCAAATGCTAAATTGTAGGTGCGATGTCTTGTTCAGAGTCTGTCTCAGAATTTTCTAGAATTGGGCTGGTTTTATTTCGAAAGCAGGAATTTATAAGATGCCACACTGACTGACTGTTGCTAGAAATCGTGTAGTTTTTTTGAGCAAAAGAAAATGTATCTGCAAATAAACAAACATCGTGGATGAAATGATTCGCCCCATAGATATGTGTGTGTGTGTGTGTGTCTGTGTGAGAGAGAGAGAGAGGGTTTGTGTGAGTGTGTTTGTGTGAGAGAGAGTCTACCTTAATTAGTTGGTACGGATTTGATTTACTTCTTACACTGTCACTCTCGCGTGCACTCTACACTCTCTCGCGTGCGCGCGCTCTGTCTCTGTCACCCTCTCTCACATACACACGTACACACATACACACTCTCTCTCTCATTCTCTCACTCTCGTGCATGCTCACTAACTCACTCACTCTCGTGGACACATACATATAAATCTATGTTTGTGCAAAGATGTTTGTTTATTTGCAGGTACGTTCTATTTTGTTCAAAAAACACAATTTGTAGCCACAGTTGGTCAGTGTGGCATTTTATAAATTCCTGCTTTCAGCATAAGACCAGCCTGATTCCAGGTTAAAACTCTTGAGACAGACTCTGAGCAAGACTTCACGCCTACAATTCAGTGTCTGACCTGATATGTCACCTTTTGTGTGTTCATATCGCTGTGCCTGATTGTCATGACAGCACAGCACTGACTTTGACTTTATAAATGCTTTACTCACGTCTAACACTCTTGGTCATCGGCAGAGACTTCTTATCTGACACTGCACTCACACCAGTTGTATGATCTCTCTGCCTATTAACTCTTTGTCTGTGTACTCAACTCTCTCACTGCACCTGACAAAGGGGCAGTGCTCCGAAAGCTTGTGTGATTTCAAATAAACCTGTTGGATTATAACGTGGTGTCGTGTGACATCTGACTTTGTCTACCCCAGTCCAACACCAGCACCTCCACATCATACTGGCTTTGCAAATGCCATTGATGCCATCACAATGGATATATTACTGGAGTAATACCTTTGTATAATATGATATTAATATTGGAAAAAACTGGTTGGGGTGTACTGTAAGTAACATTGGAATAATGAGCGGCTACATTTTCAACTAAAACTTGTTTACACCTTAACAATATTTTGAATCTGTTACTATTCCATCATTTCCCCTTATTAGCCATTTTCATCTTTATTTGAAATAATCTAAAATTAAATGTATTAAAGGTGGTAAGTAAACATGCACTGATTTATTTTATTAGATTACAGAATTTTAGTTTATCAGATTTTGAAATTGATAGTTTATTACACCATAGAATAATATAATTGATTTTAGACTTTTTATATATAATAAAAATGATGAGTTAAAACAGTTGTTGTTTTCCAAGGCATAATTGACTGACTGGTTACCAACAAAAGACTTATTGCAGAAATGTAGAAAAGCATACTTTGAAGCATTTGATCAGTGAATTACAGTAGTTGCAATAATTGACATAATCATCTTTTGAAAGACATTCTCGCATTATAACTTCAAAAATGTGACCTTTTCTGTGATAAATATTCAGTATAACTCCATACAGTGAGTTTCCAACAGTTATCTTGTCTATGTAAAGGCTATGTAAAACTGTGTGTTAAATTGTACTACTACCAAATATCAGATGTAAAAGTTTCAAGTGCTAGCTGCAACAAACTTAGGTTGTGTGAAATGTATTTACGATAGATTTTATTTGATGCCAAGTGAAATTTCAGTGAATTTAAGAGTTACTCTCTATTGCACATCACTAGTTTGTCAGGTTTCCCATTGTGTTAAAGTATTGTTATTTATGTGTTAACATGGCTAAGCTTTGAAAGTCATTAGTTCAGATATCCACAAAAGGTACCATGCACGTCAAGCACATTTCTGGTACTGGGCTTGAGTCATTATGAATGACTAAGGGAATAATAGTGATGGCGAATTAAGGTATTGTATAGCGAAATGCTCAGAATGTACTATTTTGTGATTGTTGCTTGTGTACTACGCTATATGTGACAATATAATCACTGAATATAAGGTGGTAAATTTAAGCTTTTGTTTCATAATTGCACCTTTGGTTCTAAATCCTGGTTCTTTATTTTGATTAGATATTACAAAATGTATATAGCACTGAGCCTCAACCTGAGTGGATAAATAGCATTTTTGATTGATTTTAAAGGTCAAGTAACAAGAAGGTAATTCTTCCTTATTTTGTTAGTATGATGAACAAAAAGACCTGTGTAACTTTGCTGTCTAACATAATGTTATGAATAAGTGATGTTTATATGATTGGCCTTCAAACTACTTTGTTTCCTTTGTAATTTTCTTCAACCTATGAATCAGTAATGATGCTACTAATTTGGTGCATGTTATAAAAGGACAAGAATAAGCTAACATTTTGCCTCTGAAAAACCTATTTAGTACCTTCCTTAATTTCTTTGCTTGGAAAACAATTTCAAAATATGTTTAGCAATGGGACTACCAGTTACATAATATACATAATACAAGCCAATTGCAAAAAAAGTAAAGAAGTTGTGCATTGAGGAAATTTTGACATGTAATGCATCTTGTCATTTGACCTTTCTAGCAAAATGCGAAGCAAAGATTGCAATTTATTTGAAATATTGCAGTTCTCCAGTACCAGTGTGTATTAGAAAATATTAAAAAAGAAACATCAAATTGATATTGTCTTCAAATCTAGTTTTAAAATCAAGCGGGTCACTACATGATATTCTCTGTTTGTTTAACCTATGTCAATTAGGTTTTCAGATATAAATGGTCATTCTTTCTGAACAATTGATATCGAAGTTGTTTATTAACTGTTAAGTCACAAGTGTTCATGTTTTGTCTAATGTTATTTAAAAAGTGCTGTCAATGTGAATTTACACTGAAACTAACCACAATAATGTCAGCTATTATGTGAATCTACTTTTTTTCTTTTTGTGGTTTATTCTTCTCTTTATATTCTGATAAGTATACAGTATATGGCTTGTTTATTTAAATTGCCAATGCTGTGAGTATTAACTTCTTCTCATAGAAGAAACTGTGATTGTTTGTATCACTACATATAGTAAAATAAATGTAAACTGACTCGGATGATTTGCTTGCTGGCTTGTTCCAATTTTTTCCCAAAATAACAGGACTCTGTTTATATCAGAAGAGCCACATAAAATTTATTTCCTTTTTTCAAATTTGTGGCAAAATTTGAATTGAAAAGAAATCTGGTCTTTGGTTTAGATTATGTCAAGTTCTCTAATATGTATTTAATATTCGTTAAACTAGAAGAATTAAACTTAGAGGGAAAAATTTAAGGATAAGTCTTGGCAGAGCAGTTTAACTAAGTGGAATGTTCCTTCCAAATGATGTAGGAAGTCAGGGTGACTGTGCAGGAAGAGTCTATGGCGGCAGCTACTCAAAATCTGCGCTTTGAAGCTGGACCGGTTGTTGGATTCACCGGAGCATCCACAAGACTGAGATTTTTGTGGAAAGCACATAAAGTAAAGTGATCACACTGCAGGTATAGAGTGCATGGGCAGAAACTTAATGGGTGAACACCAACCAGGGGAAATAATACCAGGTAGATAGCACAGGAGTCCCCTGGGTCCAGGTCCCCTGCTAATAGATATTTTCATTGCGGATACTACTGGGGGAGGTGGCTCTCACTACATTTCCCTGAGAGACCAGGACCACAGTGTTGCAAATGGCTGCATGGGTGAGGGGTGGAATGGGTACAAACAAAAACGTTGAAAGCAATAGGGATAAGGGATTCTATTGTCATGGGAACAGATAGATGTTTATGCGGCTGCAAACACAGCACCAGGATGGTCTGTTGTGTGTCTAATGCCAAGGTCAAGGATTTGAATGTGTGGCTGCAGAACATTCTGAAGTGGGAGGGTGAACAGCCAAAAGTCATGACCCATGTTGGTACCAATGATATAGGTAGAAGGAGAATGGAATCCTGTAAGCAGAATGTAGCAAGCTAGGAAATAAATGGCAGGACCTCAAAGGTAATAACTCAGGATTATTCCTCACGTCACATGCTAGCGAAATCAAGAACAGAAAAATAGATAGGATGAATATGTGGCTGAAGAAATGGTATACGAGGAGGGATTTAGATTCCTGAAGTATTGGGACTGATTCTGGGAAAGAAGAAACCACTTCAAATTGGATGTGTTGCCCCCCAGGACAGCCGGATTGTTATCCTTGCAGGGATAGAGTAGCAGGAGGATGTGAAGCTGAGCTGGTAGATGCAAGAAATGGAAACAAAGATGAAAATAAAAGGTAAAAAATTAGAAAGCAAATATGGAAGTCAAGAGAAAGAAGGGTTATCAGCAAATAAAGCCCTATTCCAAAAAAGTTATGTAAAAATGTTAGCTACACACCTAATGGCCCTGCGTCTGAGTACATGGAGCATTTGCAATAAGGTGTATGAATTAACAACATAAATTGTTGGAGACATGACTACAGGGTGAACAAAATATCCAAGAATATTCTGTATTAGGAAGGACAGGTAAAAAGGAAA